CCCCCCCGACCCTCGGGGTATTGTGGTAGACAAGCAATCTGGAGGTGAGCCTTCGGGAAAGCACTGTCTCAGCGATCGGAATACCGGAGAGCCACAGCTGGCCACCTGACCGAGTCGTCATGATCAGGGTTGGGGCGAGAGTGTCACGCCCTTCTGAGGTGGCCAACCGGTCCCAGTGAGATTGCTGAGGTCCTGGCGACACTGCTGGAATAGGCAGGGTGCTCGGTGCTGGGTCTGAAGACTGTCTCCAAGGAGGCGTCCTGGCCAGCGGTGGAGGTGAGGGATCCCGCGGACCTCGCGGCTTCTTCTTGGCCGACGTTGCAATCAGCTTGGGCGGAACCGCCTTGGATGGAGGTGCCTTCGGAGGCGTCTTGGGCCTTGGAGAGAGGGCCTCTGCTGCATCGGGCCGAGCACTTGGCTGGGGCGATTCCGCTCGCCTGCGTTTGGCTCTCGAGGAGGGTTTGGCCTTTGAGGACGTGGTAGAAGAAGCTGATGCCGCCGCCGCACGAACTGGAACTGGCGTCTCGGCAGGCAAGTACTTCTTTTCGGTGCAAATAAATGCACCATGGCTCCCGCCACAAGCCCGCCCCCGGGCCAAAAGAACAGCGCAGAGGTGAGCGTTCCCGCAAACCTCCTCTCCTTCTGCGCACCCCTCGGGCATCTGGAAAGCCCCGCAAAGGCGACGCCCATTCTTCAAGAAAGCCGTCAGCACGCGGCCTCGGATGGCATCCGGCATGGATACCGTCTGGCGCGAGGTGCTTCCTCGGATTTTGTTCGCCGCTGCCTTAGCGACTCGGGCCCTGGAGAATTGGAGATGCGTCTTCAGCGACTCCTTGGTTGGCTGAGCCGCGTACCTCGTCTCCTTGTCCTTCGCGATGGCCATGGCAAGCGCGTCTTTGGCCACTTCGCGGAAACCATCCAAATCGGCAGGAAGCACCTCCTCCCAAAAGCTGTGACCCTCACAGCTGTGGGCCACTGAAGTGGCCAGGATCTTGTTGCGAAGGGACTGGGCATACCGAGCTGACGAATAGTGCAATGCCATCCCTGCTTCAGCCGGCTCTTTTGATTTGTCCTGCCAATCGCCGAGGGAGCAAAGATCAGACGACGACAAATTCAGAATATGGCCCACTGTGGGAAGCATTCGTCGCCAAGAGTAGGTGGTCAACTGCTCGGTATTGTCCAGGAACTCGGCAAAGATCGACTGGCATAGGTGCTGAACCTCAGCGATGTTCCAAGGCGTCCCACGCCCGTCAAAGCAGATCCCTGCACTCTTCTGGGCCACCGGAGAGAGAGCCTTCCAGGCTTTGAGCCACTCCACAGTCCAGTTGAAGGTGGATGCAAACTCGGCTGGAGCACACCAATCAAAGCCGCCACGAGCATGACGCTGCTTGCCTTTGCGACAGTGGCCATGGAACACGAGTGGGCTGATGCGACGAACGGTTGAGCGGCGAAGATGCTGGTATCGCAAGCAACCTGTAGCCACCAGCCAAGAGCCGAGGAGACATGTCCAACGCGGGTCCCCCCCACGGCACATGCTCTCAATGCGTTCCTCCAACAGCTGCAGCATGCCAGGCTCCACAACAAGGGCTTGGCTCTTCGTAGACGTGGCCTTCTTCTTCAGCTCCGGAGAGATACGAAGCCGGGCCACTTCCCAAGGAGCTCCAGAATGCTTGCACAGCCAACGAAGCGCATTGAGCGCGCGGGTAGGGGCCATCGTCCCCTGATGCAGGAAGTTATCCATGTCCACGAAGTCCGGAGGGAACGACCTCCCGCGGTGGAGCAAAAAGGCGTGGAGCTCCCCATAGGTGCGGAGAGCATTCTGAATCGTCACCGACTCAGACTCCGCCACTTTGGTCTGCATGGGCCAAGCGAAGGACGGAGGCCTGCCAATCCCGCTTCAGGGCCTCAGTCAACAGGCCAACCGGCTTCAACGCCCCCACGGTCAGGAACACCTTCTGCAGGGCCAACACTTGGCGCTGTATGGACTCGGGCTGATCCTGCACCCGTTCATGAAGGCGTACCCCCGCCTCAAGTGGAACTTCCTTCCGCTTGCGAACCAGTGGAGGACGTGTATCCGGCAGCAGAGGTCCCCCCTCAAGCAAGCGCGCCGCCGCCGGGAGAAGCTCATCCTGCTGGGCAACCCGGACTGCGAGCCAAGCGTCCGCCAAGAAATGGCCTCCCACGGCCACAGCTTCCTCCCAGGTAGAGAAGGCAAAGGCGAAGTCCTCATCTTTCTCATAGCCCCGTTCCCGGCGCCATGTGATGGCACGGGCCCCTGCCACCCTAGCAAGGCTGTCTTCGGCTCGCCAACCAGAGGACGAAGCCGGTTCGTCCGGCGGAGCGTCCACCGCTCCAGCGACTTGTGCACGGTACACCATGGCTTGCGCACCCGCTGAACTACCCACTATCGTCATCAGACGACGAAAGTTCGCGGCAGACCGGACAGATTTGGAGCACTGGGAAACAGGCGGAACACACTCCTTTGATACAACCAAGGCACTGCCGATAAGTGGGATCACCACAGCCGCAACACGCTGGAGGAAACTCCGACTCTCCGTTGATTGAGGACCCCAACCATCCACGAAGGGCTCGATGGGCACGAATCTTCGGGTGAAGAGCTTCCAGGTGGCGCGGCAGATGCTCAAGATCTGGCAGTGGGGCACGAAAGGGGTTGGACCACAACCCATGTGGTGATCCCATGATCCAGTGTCGCATATAATAGAGAACTTCAGATTGAAAGGTTTGCAGGGGCAAGAGGTCAAAATCCCCAGGAACCTTCTGCTGGAACTCCCACAGGTAGGAGGGCACAAAATTCGCGGCAGAGTATGGGGTACGGTAGGGCTGCAACAAGAGGAGGTCCATGTTGGCGTCCAACCGAGCATGCCTATCCCAGGCCTGCTGAGGAGTGAACCCGGATGGCACAATCGTCCCGCGCCGGTTCCAAATCCCGACCCACGGGAAAACATAGCCCCCTCGCCCCTGATCACACCGTGGGCAGGCACTCTTAGGACACACGGAGATCCGCATAGGGGGGAAACCAGCTGGCCCGTCCCCCGGGCGTGAAGACGGAGGCATGTGCTCGAATAGAACCACCGAGCTCCAAAGCCGCATCGCGCCTGCCCGGTCCCCCCGGGCCAAAAGGGCATCGACCTGGCGACGGAACTCGAGGAACGCGGCGGACGAAAGCACCTCAGCAGCCGTGAACATGGCGACATGCACACCGACGATAGGCTGTGAAGTCATCCACAGCACACACAGCAAAAATTAGCAGAACAGAAACTCCACTGTCCCACTTTTGGCTTGAGCCAAAATGGACAGTGTACCAAATGTAATGAAGACCGTGCACCCAAACCTGCCCAAAGCTCGACACAGTTTTAAATAACAGCATCCTTTGAAACCGTTGTATAAAGGAGCACTCTGTTGAATTGCTACATCACAACACATTCCTTCTTTCGTGTCACTGCATTTGGTCCATCGAATCGGAACTCCAGCGCGACCCGAGCGCGGTCGCAGCTCTCCCTCGGAATGCCGAGGGGCAATGGGGAATCGCATCCCACCGTCCGCAACTGGGAGATGACGACTGCGCCCTTAGATTCGCAACATCCACCGTGTGGAACCGTGTGGAACATTGTGGGAATAGCGTTCGAGTTCTGACGTCTGCATTGAATATGACGGAATATGAAAAGGTCAGTTGTTGTCAGAAGGGTTGTACAATCCAAATAGGATGGTTATCAGGAGAGGATGTCCTGCAAGTGTTGAACTCACCCGTGGGTGACTACAACTTCCCCCCACTTCCCGGTGTTCGCGTGATCTCCCCGGCTTAGCGGGAAAATCGATGAGGAAAATCCCATGGCGGATCGGTCCAGCGGCGTGGTGGCGTTGCCATAGCCCTGAAGAAGTCGAATCTGCACGTGTCGAACCTGGCAGGGTGCTGAAGAAGCTACTAGGAACAAGTGCATCGCTAGTAGTAACAAGTGCCTTACTAGTAGCAACAAGAAGCTATTAGTAACAATACTTGAGCTGGCGCACAACTCGGTAGGTCTACCAAAGCCGCAAAGACGGCGACGAGACTCATGTGTGGCTCGGTGCTTTTAAGTCCTCGGCCGTCAAAACCAAGAAAGTCAAGGTTGTGTGAATGGTCCTGAAGCTGGTCAATTAGGCTTATCACTTCAATTTCAATTTAAGTGAAGCTTGAAAAACTAGCACGCACACATGCATACAACATCATCATCATCATTGAAGGTTCACCATTCACCAGCTAGGTAGGTCTATAGGTATACAGTTCGCAGCATTCCCTGCCGAAATGGCGAAACTCCCTGGCCTTTTCATAAAGTTGGCTTCTCCAATCACAGGCGGCGGTGCCTGTGGGCATGGGACAGCGAGGGAGTTCATCGAGGCCGTCGACAGGCCGAGGTTTGAGATGCCTGATCCGCTGTTTCCTCACCAGGCAAAATGCAAGATGTATAGAGTCTCAGAAAACCTCACCTCTTCCTTGAAAAAGTCGAAACTGTAAGACAATGACAGATACGAGCAGCCACGTTGGCTTGCTGCAGGGTGAATTCTTACGGAACTCTCTTGTGTGCGGGATCTGTCTAGAAACTTTATGCCTTCTCAGGGGTATAACTGTTCCAGACATTTTCCAAACAGGGAAGCAACACAGCAAACCCCAGTGAACCTACGTCGTCCAGCGGACTTTCAAGCGACTCCAAGCGGGCTTTCGAACTCCAAACTCCATGGGCCTTGAGGATCTTTGGAGAAAACCAGGCTGCTACTCTCGGTGTCGAAGTCCACCTGCGCGCGCGAAATGGATGCATGTGCAAAAATGCGTTCGTGTTTGTCCGCATGCAACATCAAATTGCAAAAAATCTTGTCTTTTTTGGGATTCAACAAGCAGTGAATGGTCTTGGTACTCTATATTACTATATTCTGATTCTGTATCATTTCATGTTTCCATTTCGATGTCCATCCGAAAACCGACCAAACGAACACTTCCTCTTCCACCGGAGCGGCGGTGCCTTGAAGGCCGATCGGCAGGAGGGGCACTGCGCCCGGCCGCGGACGGTCACGGAGGTTGCTAAGGCTCGATCCCAACAGCTGGTGCAATATTTGATGGCACCTCAGGGTTGGACAGGTGGCTACTAGTAACAAGTGCAACGCTACTAGTAACAAGTATGAGAGAGAGGCAGAGAGGTAGGGAGGTAGGGAGGTAGGGAGGTAGGGAGGTAGGTAGGTAGGTAGGTAGAGAGATTGCTGAAGACCTGTGGTTTTGGAGGTTTGATGGGTTTGATGGATGGAGGACAGGATGTCATCATCCTAGAAAGAGATTATTTGAGTACTGAGATGCTGCAAAGTGGTGGGGTCCCAGTTATGGATCATCTGGAAAAAACGGGGAAAGTCGAACGAAAAGGCTCAAATCCTCAAAATAGCAATTCCTATCCAACCAATTCCCATCCAAACACTTTCCATGTGAGACCCTTCCTTCACCAAGAGACTCAGGGTCAGAATATCCGAGGCACACGAGCAGGGAAGGTCTACGAAGGTGCCAGGCTCGAAGCAAATGGCACACTCCTTGCGAAACAGGGGAGGGCATCACAATTAGGTTGGAGATCATCGCTATTAGGTTGGAGACCATTAATGCTATTATAGTTTCCTTTTGCAATAATTAATAGGTTGGAGTCGGTTGGAGGCCATTGCTCTTAGACTGACGGGTTTAATAATAAGACGACATGTCATATGTTGGCTCCAAAATCTTAATAGCACCAAGATATATATATAGCTTAATCCCACCTCCAACGATTTGAACCCCAGCAAGCTAGTGCTCTTTTCAACATACAGTAAATACTAAAACCATTCATTTTCCTTCTGGATTATGAAGGTAGTAGCGTCCTGGCTCCTAGTAGCGATGCCCTTTGATACTAGTAGCTTCTTGTTTCTAGTAGTAAGGCCAGGAGCTACTAGTAGCGTCCTTGCTCCTACCCCCTGAAGGATATGATGGTCCCTTTGACCTTCATCTGTCTGCCTAAACGACATCAACGTGCATCGCATCGTGGCTCCTCGTGGACCTCCGTCTCCGGAGGTCGCTCCAGGACGTCGTCCGCTGCCTCGCGCGCCTCGGGCACCGCTGCGCCGAGCTCTAATCGCACCTGGGCGACGCGGCGCCACGCGGCGGGCGACCGATGCCTTACGCCAAAGGGCGACCTTCCCTCTCGGAGCTGCAATTTCTTTGTTTCTAATAGCTTCTTGTTAGTAAAGATGCTCCTAGTAGTACGGCCAGGAGCCCCTAGTAGCTTCTTGCTCCTAGTAGCGATGCCAGGAGCCCCTAGTAGCTTCTTCAGAGAGGCACATGTTTCTTCGCTTTCTCTCTTTTAGACTTATTGTTTCGATAGGACTGCCAGGAAACGGCGTTCCGAGAGGCACTTTTAGTTGGGTTCCGTTCTGATGCGTCGATGCTGACTCGCGTTCGACGGAGATGACGCCCTCTTAAATGCTCAGCTCAGAGTGTGGACATTCCGCATGTATAAGGACCCTCCGTTTGCGCTGAACGATGTAGTCCGAACGTGCGTCGAAGATGGACCTTCAAGCGTTGAAGACATTCCTTCACCTTGTAAACGTTGTGCTGAGATTGTTTCAACAGGCACGGGATGACAACAAACATAAAGGGATGATGTGTCACGTGGTAGTTATACACTCTGTTCCACATGCAAGCCATGCAAACGCACATCCATAGGCTACACATCGGCCGAGGCTCATCTGGAGTTCACAAAATAATAAATAATAGAAACAAAATCAAATACCATCGAATTCAAACCTTTCCAAGCAATCCAAATCCCAGTTCTGCGCCAATCTTTTCCAAGGCGCCATCGTTTTTTTTGCCTAAGACACCAGACGCCTGAGCGATCCGAGTGGCGAAGGTCGCGAATCTCTCTTCAACACCTCCAACGGGCTAGGAGACCTTGGAAGCTACTAGGAACAAAGGGCATCGCGACAAGTAACAAGAAGCTACTAGGGGCTCCTGGCCGTACTACTAGGAGCAAGAAGCTACTAGGAACAAAGGGCATCGCTACGAACGTCACAAGAAGCACGTTCCCGTCCCAACCATGTTGGGCAACGGGTTTTTTACCCCGTCATGGATGGCGGCAGGGAACCGAAGAAACATCTGGTACACACTCTGCACTGATCGGAACTTGGATCATCTGGGATGTCTTGAACTGTGGAGGTCTTGATGCCACATGATGAACAGCAGGTGACCGAAATCCCCATCTCTGCAGCAAACATCATACAAACAGTTGATGCTTGCTGCAGAGCGTGTTCCATGGAGGTCATGTCTGCTTTCCAACAAAACAACCCCAAGCGGACGGACTGAGGGATTGCTGGGACCTCTGTTCCTTCAACTTTGCAATTTCAGAGTCTCTACATGCAGGAGACATCAACATCGGAACACTCAAAAGTCGACAAAAAGTCAAAGAAAACACACATCCCAGGAGTCACATGGAGTTGGGTGGTTTCTAGCCCCTATATAATATATAAGTGAGTGGATGTTGCTGGGCACCCTTATCCGTTCGCTCGGCACCCCGTCTTGTGACTCCTGGTCATATGTCATACCCTCAAGGAAACACTGGTCGAAAACACGCAGACGGCCATCACACCGGTGCCCGAAACCGAGCGGGTGGAAACCGTGCGCCTGTCGAAGCGAATGTGGTGCCTAAATTTGGAACTGTCGGCCAAAGGGCTGCGGTTGCTGTGTTTTCGACGTTGGCTCCGAACTAGCACGGTCGACACGGAAAAACTGGCGCAGTTTGCGCTGGACGTGTTTCTAGTACGAACACAAAGCCACAGGCTTGGATGTAGGACGCCATGAAAAAGGCTTTGGGGAGAAAACGTCCATCTGCTCAGAAGATCTGGAGAAAACGTCCACGCTGTCCAAACCCACCTCGCGGCAACCTTTCGAGGGCTCTCCTGCGCAGACCGGGTGTTTGGCAGTGGGATTCATCAAAAGATGCACTACTTCTTTTGTGGGATGGATTTGTCTGCGATGGCGCTCATGTGTTCCAAACAATCCATGCCATGGAAATCTTTCCACGGCGTAGACCACATCCATAGTTGCCCCTATGCTGCATTGGCCTGCAATTGCTACATGCCACAAGGGTCATTCATACGTGAGAGAAACAAGGACTTGTTATGATCCCTAGGGCTCCAACTACCTCCTGAGAAGGTGGTTAGGGTGGGTTTGGGGGGGTTAACCACCTTCTGAGTATCTAGTCGGACAAATCTAGCACCCATCCCATCATTGGCTAGTAGCTAGAAGCTACTAGTAACAAGGGCATCGCTACTACTAACAACGGCATTACTACTAGTAGCTAGAAGCTACTGGTAACAAGGG